CCCCTAACCCTAACCCTAACCCCTGCCCTAACCCTAACTTCTAACCCTAACCCTAACCCCTAACCCTAACCTCATTCGGTAACCTTATTTTCGGAAGCCTTTAACTGTCGCCTTTGTTCTTTCGTCATGATTTTATTTTTTTCTCATTTAGTTTTCTGAATTATTTTCCCATGTGGCGCAGTACACTCCTTCTCTTTTTCTTATATTTCCCTCAATTTTTTGACTTATTTCTCGGAACGTTGGTCTTTTCTCTGGTTGTCTGTTCCAACAGGATTCCATTATGTTATATACTTCCACATCGCACCTATGTCCGTATTGGCATGGTGATACAAGCCGATCTCCTCTTTTAATTAGCTCACGCACCTGTTCACACGTATATTCTAAAATGAAGTAATTTTCGTAATTACCGTATCTTGATCATGTAGCGATTCCAATTTTTTCCCTTTCTTAATGTATATTCCAGGCCCGCTAAAATAACTCACCCTTATAAGGCGTTTGTCCATAGGTTAGTACTTCAAACATCAAAATTCCGAAGGACCATACGTCGGATTTTGTAGTCGGTCTGAGACGGTGGATCAAAACTTCCGGTGCAGTCCAGCGAACGGGGAAGGCATCTGCAGGAAAAATAGGTGAGAAGAAATGGGGATTGTTTTCGTTTAAATAACCACGTTGAGGTGGATTATTACGGTCCTTGCAAATTCGGCACTCAGCACAAACGCTTCAGTGTTTTGGCTGCGGTAATTTAAAAGGAAAAAACTTATACACATTCACTCGTGTGGTAATCCATTAATTACGCCTGAATACATTTCTGTTTGGTCAAAATATTACGTCAATTGCCCAAACGCTCTTACAATTTTAGGCGCAAGTGGCTGGCCCAAAGCAAATAAAGCTTATCGAATTTGCTTTTAAAAGTATCGTATGCTAGCAAGAACTCAAAACTTTTATTATCCTTTCATTACATCTCAATGGGTGGACTGACAGAAACGTAGTTGTAAGCCCTGCATCTACATTTGGTTAGATATTCGTGACTGGCACACTTTAAATGAATAGGGCAATTGTTTTTACTTCAGTGTCTATTTGTAAGTTGCGGAATTTTCATGATTCTTACTCTTTCACCATCAAACCCAAAAGTGGATATTCAATGCCCATTACCAATCTACTTGTGACATGATTTTTTGCACCAGTTGACCATGAACTGACAAAAACATGCCGAATAGGTGTAAAGTCCCGATTCTCTTCTCCGAGCCCGGTGTTACAAACAATAAAAGTGTCATTCATCAATTTATTAAAACAGGTTGCGAAAAGGTGGGCTGTATTCAAAGCAATAAAAGAGATTTATAGTGCTTCCAGTTTGAGAATAATTGCACTCTATTTTAATTAAGTAGTAGTTGAATTGGTCAAAAAGTAATAGAAAATTGCCGTTGTTTAATTTGATTGAAACGGCTAAGTTGAATTGCCGGGTGCTTTCTGAGTTTTTAGCATGGTACGAGCTGACGCACTACTAAAATCGACTAATATCTAAGTCACTTTGTAATGGTGCAGATTGGATATTTCCCTGCTGTTACAAGTTATAAACCACTCAAACTCACCCGCGACATTGGTCTGATCGACTCCACTTATTAAAGTCAATCCGAAGTCGGCAACCTTCACAGATCGGTCCTCGTGAACGAGGACATTCGCGGCTCGTAGATCTCTGTGAACTACTTTGATTTTTTCTAGATACACCATTGCCTTTACGACCTAAAGTTTAAACCAATCAAACAAGATACATTTGTCCTTTAATTCTGACCGAATAAACTTGTGCGTATCGAGAGATAACCTCCACATTCCATGAGATATTTTTACTCCTTGGCCTACATCCTGGATTTTCAGTGACAGCTAATTCTCATCAACATAAAACTGGTAGGTTAAATTAAATTGTCAATCTATCACGCCGTCGATCTAATGCAGATATATTTTGTCCGTTTTTGATCATCAATGTATTTGTGCTAAATATGATTAATTTTTACTTCCTAAAATAATTTAGATAGTGCGGTGGATATGGGATACGGAATCAATTTTGCTTCTACGCTTCGCGGGTCCACTTTATCCAATTAACTGCACACCATTTGGTAAAGTGGTTTGGAACTTGCTTCAAGTAAACACATTCTTCTTTTTGCTCGTTTATCTTATAGCAAAATGGCTTAATAACTGCCTAGATTTAAAAATTAGTAAAATTCAGTAACTATTGTAGTAACATTTAGCTGCACTTTTTATTAATCTAATGAGTTTTTCAAAGATGTGTGCACCTCATCTACTGCCTCTCCCCTCAAAATGAATTAGCTTTTTCAGAAAGCATGTGAGTGAGTGTGTGCACGGGTAAGGAAGCATAGTTCTTCAAGTACTTGAGAGAGTGTGCATGGTCTGCACCACAAAGCATTGCTTTAACTCCAGCGAAATAGCTCATTCAAACGCGTAACCTTGCTAGGGCCATATCACACCTATGTAAAATTTACGTGCCAAAATAACCCCTTCCTGTGTTTGTCACATCCTTAGTCATTTATAACTTCAAAAAGCCTATTATGGCTCTTGCCAGTCCAAAACCATAAATCGCAAGGACATCATGGGGTGTGGAGAAAATTTTACTCATAAAGTCGAGCATAAAGCTACCATGGCGAAGGAAAGTACACATGAGCTGTATCAAAGCAATAATAAGTTGATTTCCCTGAAAAGCCCCACAAGTACGCTTATGACATCAGGCAAAGGCATTTCCTTACTTCTACGGTTGACAGGTTTCCAATTAATCTACTAAATCGTACAGGCGTTTAGAATTCCAACAACCCCTCAATAGAAACTGATTATGCTGCATAGGGGTAACCTATAAACACCGTTTCTCAGGCATGAATGAACGACAGGAAATAGATAACGTCGTCAGGCTTTTAAAAAAACGGAAGCGGTTGGCGATAGTAGTCCAGCTAATGGCATTCGGCTTCCATTTCCAAGACAAAGTATAGCACAAAAGTGGCAGGTAATAACGGGATGTACAAGGATTTAAAAGCAATGTGCCTCTTAACATGAATTTGTATATTATTCGTCTTGTCAGAGCCAGTTATGAGAACTTATTCTGTCTCTTCCCCTTACGAAGCAAAGTATGAGAGAAAGGTTTATGCGGTATTTTACCAATTGCTGCGTAACAGGAAGTGGTATTTAGTGTACGAGGGAGGATAAGCGCGAGATAGTGAGAGAGCAATTTTGAGCACCAACCTGATCAATGATACTGATGAGGTGACTGTATTGAAGAGAGCGTCCTTCGGGCTTATGAAGGTAGTCGAGAAGAGAGCCGTTGGCCATAAACTCTGTGACGATAAGGATTCTCCTGTCGGGCTCTGAATGACAGAAGCCAAGGAAGCGCACGATGCGTTGATGAGCTAGTATGTGCATCACCTTCACCTCCTCAAGGAAGGCTTTGTCACTATTTTCACTAAGGCTCTTCTTTACTGCCACCGGCATATTGCCAATACGACCCTTGTAGACGGCGCCGAAGTTGCCTCTTCCCAGTTCCTGTTCCAGTGTCAGGTATGCGTAGTTGATTTCACATTCGCCCAAATCCATCGGCACCACCACTCGATGTGAACGCGGTTCCATCAAACCCACCTCACCATCGATGGTGTTTGCTAAGAGTAGGAAAAAGAGGTGATAGAAAGGAATACTAAAAGAAGTGCTCTGTGCCTACTGCTTTCTCTTACTCTCCAACAAGAAATTTGGGAACCTAACATCCTTTTATCATAAATTATTTAACATAAACAGATGGCTTCCCTCACGTCTTTAAGATAGAATAAGCAAAAAATACTTATTAAAAATGTCTGTTTAAACAAGTTCTCAGCGATATGATGAAGAAGCATGCTAATATTTTAGATTAATCCGATAAACAGTCTCAGTAAATTCTGCATAGATTGTAACGAATCCAAGATTATATTCGATTGTGGATAGTGCTCCTTTGACAATTCAGTATGGCTTTCGTTGAAATGTGGAATTCAATCTAAGCACAAATCCCCAATCATTCACTTTGTCCGCCCAAATGAGGATATGCTGATGATTTTTACAACTCTTAAATTCGTTCTTATTTTAATTTGTTTTGGACGATCTTAATTTGTATATATTAGTGTGAGCTACTACTGAATAACTAATAAGAATTGGCAGTAACATTCGAATGCTTAATGTCCTTCCCTAATTTACAGAAAATCAGAAATTACGTTACATTAATATCAGTAGCGTAGTCTTTAAGAACTAAAAAAATTGAGTGCCACGTGTTGTGGAGGTTAAATGAAACAACACTAAGAAGGCCTTATTTGATTCCGCACCTAAGATACGGTGACTAGGGACGAGAAGCCTACTTTCTTTGTAATTATTTCAACTAGTCGAAAGGCACAAGGAGCAAAGGCAGTCAGACACTTGAAATGGTCTACGGCTGTGTACAAGAGGCCTATAAAGTGAGTGCCACTTTAGAAATGAGTGTTTGTGATAATGGCTTGAGAAGCTGTAAAAGAGACCCAAATATAGCACCATTTATATTTCATCAAAGTGGTCACGAGCCAGAAAAAATATCCAAAATAAAAGGCAAGAAATAGTCTTTTATAGCATACTACGAAATAGGCGTAACCACAGCAGTTTTAATATCCAAACAGTAGAGTATTCGTTATAACTTCTCCTAGTAAACAATGTTAACCAACAAAAATTAGAGTTATAAAAGACTACTGCCAGTGGGTCAAATCGAGGTAAGTACATTTAAAGAATAAACATTTATCAATTTCTATCTTGCCTAGGTTCAGCAACCATGCAGATCGTCCGATGAAGAAGCTGTGCCTACTTTAACATGAGACGTTCATCACGTGCAAACAGGGAAACTAATGTAATTCATTGTGATGAAAGTACGCTTTGGTAAATAGGCCTTACAGATTTTTTTTGTTAAAATATCAAATACAAAGCAAAACAAGGACTACTTCATTAAAAATTAACAGAATAAGGTAGAATAATATTTGTAACGCATTTTTAACATGTAGCATTTCTTTGTTACCCTTCTAAATATAACGACTCACACTGGTAGTACGTAAACATTTGTTCAAGAGATGAAAACCGCATAGTCGCAGAAAGATAAAACTGTCTTGCTGCTTCGTCGAAATAGACGCGAAAATGTTTAACCGCGACTCCTTTAGCTCGGACAGAAAGGGAGTAAGGAATGTTAGTTTCTAAAGAGAAGAATATAGCCATAGCAAAGAGGCTGTCTCATCATTCTACTTCCAGTAAAGCGTAACGCTTTGTATTAAGCAGAATTTATACATGCAAAAATTTGCCTTGGAAAATTTGACTTTGTGGTACTCGATATTACAACATTTTGCTAATATTATTAAAACTCACACAGAACAGTCTATAAAGGAACAATACAATCTCTAAACACTGTCCATATCTTTATCATAATGTTTGAGTGCAGGTTAATTCTGTCGGAAAAAATGGAGTTTTGTAAAAAGTTTTGAAATGAGCTAGAATTATACAAAAGTTTTTAAGATTTTCAAACACCGTGATTTTAAACCAGGAATATTTTGGGATAGAGCTTACCCATGCAGGGCCGAAGAATATAGGTTCCGAATTGCACTCCGGGTACGAGAAGTTTGTATTCTGCTTCAGCACGATCAACGTCAAAGAAGGCCCCAAGAACAATTGATTGAGACAAATCAGATAAAACATAGTTAGAAGGAATAAGGCCCTCCTTTTTTGCTCGCACATTGGTTGCCTGCCACCATTCATTTGAGGTGTCGGAAACGATAAGAATGTCGTCTTTGATAAAGCTGCACTCATTAAATTGTAGGGCTTCGAAATCGTAGACTGCAAGAACTGCTCGCGGTTTGTGAAATGGTGGGTAGGGATAGTTATATGCATCAGAAGACAAATTTGGCATTTGCTGTTGTTGCTGATTAAGCTGATCTTCCTGTTGCTGCTGTTGTTTATAATGATGATCTTGCTCTTGCTGCTGTTGCTGATAACGCTGATCTTCCTGTTGCTGCTGCTGTTTCTGCGGTTTATTTAACCGCCGATCCTTTCTGACTTTGCGTTTTTTGTGTAGGTTACGGAAAAATGAATGAAAACCCATTGAGAAACTGAAATAAAAATCATAATCACACAGCACTCAAAATCATGTAGCTTATTTATTTAGTGCACAGTATACACGGATTAATCAAGATAAGTATATCGCCATGGGTTTCGATTAAAGTATCCTAAAAAGTAATGCATTATTTATCTTATTTACGAGATACAAAGTTATCAACTATTACATATTTCACTCATCATATTAAATACACATTACCCCTGCTCATATGAAAAAGCTCGCCAGCCACCCTGACAATCAATTAAAAGCCTAGCAATATATTGACACGTTCCATTGCGTCCCAAAGGGGAACGACATGTTAGTCACACTGAAAGAAATGTTTCAAAATGACATAAATGGAAAGCCAAAATCAATAAAAAAGGGCACAATCGCCTAGTCATACTTGCGACCAAGCTAACAAAACTCACAGAGCAAACCAACACACTACCTGGAACGACTAAGTTGAAAGCACAACACAGGTGAACACCCTCGAAAAATGTTTGGTTGATAGATATAAACGAAGAAAAAAGGTTAAAATAGAGAATGAGTAAATTGAGAAAAGCTTTGTATCGCTATAACAAAGTATTATTTAACTCCCTGAAAATGTTCTAAATTTACCAATTTATTTTAAATAATCGGACTTATTATTCCAAAAAAGATCCGAATTAAAAAAGATGCAAATGTGGAGCGTGGTGAATAAAACCAGCCATTAAATTAGTGCATAAGCCTTTTTAGCAGCATAAGGTAGTAAACAGCAAAAATTGTCTCTTTTAAAAGCATACAACGATTAGTAGCATTTCGACACATTTGTGGCTTATGCAGGTACGCTTTTAAAAAATGCTTGGCTGACAAATTTTAATCTTAGTTTTCAATATTTTAGGACTAAAACAAAAAACAGATGCAAAATAGTTACGGTTAAATGACCGATTCACAGGCTAATATATGCTCACAAAAAGAATGGCTGACACGTTTAATTACCTAGTATTAAAAGACTTAAATTATTGTGTAAAGTGATTACCGATCTCTAAGCAAAGCTGCTAAGTGGTGGAAATTTTGGCAAGGTAATATAAATTCGAACCCATCACGTTCAAGGCCGACATCAAGGTGTACCTAATATTAACCAATCACCTTCGTGTACGCATTGGAAAATTCGTACTGTCATACGACAAAGTTTTCCTTTTTAATTAATTAATTGTTTGAGAAGGCTAAGATTCTTACATATGTTGACAGTATTCTCCCACCATAATAGAATGTACAACTGGTCATGTTTGGAGATAGCTGATTGGCTTAAATTGAGTTGAGATTTCTGAATACTAAAATATTATGGTAGTTTTGCTAGGTTTTTGGATCGAGTACAAATAGGCCTATAATTATTGTTTGTTTTTTAATTGCAGGCAGTAGCAGATTTACAACGCGAACTTCTATGACCCTATTCTTTGTATGAATTCCATTAACTACAGCATTTAATTCCTGTGAATGTTAGCTTTAAAAGGGATTACTATCAACCAAACTGACAACAACAAAGTTGCAGTTGAATACTATATCTAGGCTTTGGGCTAAAAGCTCTTTCTGTTGCTAGATCACGAACTAAGTAAGCAAGGTTTTCGTCAGAGTTTGTTAATCCAAAAAGGCTACTTTTATTTGCTGCATATTAATATCCGCTTTCCTGGTCGCATCTTATTTCCATGCCAAAAGCACAGCTGGTAATTCGTGGCTTTACCTGGTTTTCTTCATCCTTTCATTCATCCTCCAGTTCTTGCAAAAGTAGCATAATTAGTTACTTCCCGCATTTTTTATACTTTATCCTCTCCTTTACATCGTTCACCTATTTGTTCAAATGCCACTATTGCGCAATTTCCGCTTTACCCTTCCTTTCCTTTTTCCACACATCCATCACACATTACTTCTTCCAATGCTTCTTCTGCCTCATCCAGCTCAAAATCTCCGTGTAGCTTACAGTACCACTAATGCAGCCTCTGCTTCAGTTCTTTCGCAGTCTAAGCAACCATCTCTTCCGCTTTTAAACCCATCTTTCTTCTTTTTCTGCTTAATCTTGTCATTGTTCCCTTTTACCTCTTCCTTGTTTTTGCTTTAATGTTCCAACTCCTGCTCACAATTCTCTATTATCACTTCCTTCTTCTGACTTATTCTGCATCGTCCTCATAAAAAGGGTATTTCATTATTAGTGACAAATAAATGAAAGAAAATGAGTAATGTTTAGGACATATAGTTGGTAATGGATATGTTAGATTTGTCGCCGCTGAGGCATTTATCTGGATGTTGAGTTGGGTGAATTGGTATGTCGTTTCAAAGGAGGATATTAACAACCTTGAATTACTCCATTTATGGAGCATCCGGCAAGAACGGTGTAAGGTAGTACGCATAAAAGAAATAACGCTTTGAGTACTTGCGAAATCAACATATGTATTTAAAGTTCAACATTCTCGACCAATCTGAATAAGTGAAGTACTATCAAGTAAATCGTGTGAGGTAACTTACAGATAACCGTCGAAAATTCCCATTTTTAGTTGTCACAATTTTCTTTTAAATTTGTCGGAATCACTGGTTTAAAGAGCTGAACGAATTATTCATCTTAAGAATGCCGTGAGTTTGACCACTTGCCTTGATGTTCGAAATACTTTGTACAAATTAGAAGAAAGTGGTAAAGCTAATTCTTGCATTTTTTCAAACAATCATTCAGACATTCATCATTTCGTGCAACCAAGTAGTAACACAGAAGCCATCGCCTTACATGTCGACCCGGCTCTCCGTCAAAAGTTCACTAGACCTTTTCCATTCTTTGGAGAACAATGAGTTTTCTAATGGTTCAACAAAATACTTAGTAAGTAACATGTATTGGTGTTGACTAAATACTGCTAACGTTACAATACCATGGTCTCTGTAAGCCATTATTTAGGGCCAATATGTGAGCCGATTAGACGGCTACGCCTTTTTTCAACTGGTTCATACAATAAGATGGATCGGTTTAAGATGCACCTAGAAGAAAAATAAGTTTGAAATCTTGTTCTTTGACGTTTCGTCTTTCCAATCCGTCTCCTTCACGCTTCTTTTAGTCTTCTTTTCTTTTGCCTTTCTTTTAACGCAGCATGATCCCTGAACCTCTTCATACACAACTTGCAAATCACGCAGACTAATGAAGAGCAAAAGGCCGACATATGAACCATCCAGAGACGGATTAATGAGGTGTTCCCCGTGAAGTGTACCGCACCAAGTGTATTCCCGGGAAATTGTTAGACAGACGTTTGAGTTTCCATTTGTTGCATTAAATTCGGCAAATTTTAAGAGAAATTTCCGTGTTTAAACTTACGTATTATTTTAGAGAACCTAGTTAGCTCACTTTATGTTTAAGCTGCTGTCTACTGATTGGCCTATATTTCTCTTGAATAGGTATCTCCTTACTATCAACCTTCGTGTTTACGACAAAATTGTCTGATTAGTGCGTTAATTACTAAAAAGAAGACCCAGTAACAGAGAGGGATGTCTTTCTCTAACTCCTAGCAAATGATGTTTTACATTTCCCAAATGACTCGAATTAGTGCTTTACGCTCAACCTCAAATCAATCTATTAAAAGAATTAAGCGTTTATTGTATGAGGACTACATCAAACTTCTGCCAACTCACTATTATCCGAAGCCAACAATCATCGTATTTGCAGGAACATCCACTTACGACATCAAAGCTGTTCCACACATACGTTTTCAAGTGGAACCGAGAATGACGTCACCAACACTTTGCAGACGTTAACTTAAGCCGAGAAATGTTATGGAAATGGAGAAAAACGCTGCAAAATTAGTGTTTGCTGTTTGAATACTCTACAAATTGCTACAATGTCGATGGTTTGCACCTTCTACCGGCCCCAAATCCTTAGTGCTGATTGTAACTTCAAAAACTGACATCCCAGCTCTCCCACCAAACCGGCTTCTGCACTGGGTGATTTGCTTACTGAATCAGAATTTTAGTACACAATACCATAGCATTAACTATTGAATATCGTAATAATATTGTTAGTATTGTGACCAAACTGACGCTCTATCACGTCACATCAAAGGGAACCCGCTAAATGAATTTGTGATTGTAACAGTTTGCATTGAGGACGCTCTCAGGAACCGACTTTTAATGGTAGCCAGACGCCTTTAATAGCGCCCACGACAACAACGCTAACACAAGCAATTAAAGAATTGGATTGAATGCTGATTAGTGCCTAGTAGAGCTCGTGGTATGTATGATTGCTACTACAGTGAAGCAGTGAAAACATCGAAATTGTCGAGGCAAAGGCCATCGCATAATTTAGTCTTGGCTATATTCATTATACATGGAAATATGCTATTAATTGATGTCTTTATTTTCACCTGTCTGCCCGTTTTTTGGTTCCCTTCAAAGGCGTTAGTGTTTTCGGTGTTGCCTCTCTCCATTCACTAGTGAGTTGCAAGCCCCGATGCAGATCCTCAGAGTCTCCTTAAAGTTGGTTTTACCTCATTAAGGCTACGTGTGTTCGCCAATATTTTGCATTGTTCTCTGCTTTGTCGATTTCCAAAAGCTAAAGATCTTAACAAGCTCTCAATTCACTTCACTCCTCCTGTATTAAACCTTTAAAATCAGACTAAATTCTGTAATTTTGCCAGTGAATTGACATGGTTAATGCGGTTAATTTTTAATTAATTTAATACACACTTTGCATATGGTGGCAATTGGTGGGGCTGCGTCTTTGTAGTAATCGATGGTTCGCCTTTCTTCTGCCTAGCTTTTCTTCTCGCTACTCTGTTCTCTTGATAATAAGAACATCACACAGCTAAAATAAAGTTAATCAAAAAGTTGTCACCCTTGCACGTTGCAACTGTGATTTTCAATAAACGAATCATCTCCCCGCTTTATACATTCAAGTTGATCTCTCCAAAACGATAAGCATTATTTGAATGAATGGAACTTTTTACTTAGCAGCGAAGTATGGGAATGGGTAATCGCTTTCACTCTACCTGGTTTAACAAATGAAAGTTGGCAGAGAGGTTGAAGCACTACTAAGAGGGGCAGGTGAAACATCCCAAGATCACTTTTATCGTCTCCCATGCCGTGTCATTTTTACTTTGAGGAGCAACGCAGTAACCAGTCTACTCCATGTTTTAGGTCCTTGCGTGTGTATGTCGCTTATCAAGTACATTAACATTATAGAAAAGGCAGAAGAGATTTGGGGTTGCTGTGTTTCCCCTTCACCGTGAACATTTATTTGCCGAATCTCGGCACCAGCATACACTGCACGAAGACCTCAAAAGGTCTACTTGCTTGGCCCAGATCTGAAGTGACCTAACAACTTTACAACAGTGTTATTGGAAAAGTGGTTCGTTTGACTTACTCATCGGTTATAATAATGGCAGAGAGAAGAAGAGGGAGCCGGGGACCAGTCACTTACTCGTGTCAAGTGCCTAACAGGCTAACTGCTTCGTTAAGCTCACCAGTTTTGGGAAGTGTATTCACAATTTCACTGCAGAGCAGTAGGTATTAAGTGTATAACCACGAAAGTCTAAAGAAGAGTATAGTCCTCTGTTAAAAACATAAAGAGTATTTGCCGCAGTTGTGCTCTTTCAACTATTCTGACTCTTGCCATCCGTAGAATTTAAAAATCTTATTACTGACCTAACAGATTTACCTTCAGTTAAAATTTTGGAAAAATCACTGAAAGTCCATTTTTTCATTACAACCTTAGTTAATACCCATTCTTTTTACACAACTCCTCTTTCCGATTTGCTCACTAAAATTAATTGCTCATTTACAATTAAAAAGTTTATCTATAATGAGCCTGTACTGCACATTTACTCTAATATTGCGAATAAATTATGTGGTTTGTTTGAAATCTTGCCTTTTTGAGGTGTGACCTATAGGTACCTGAGGGTAAGTTCAACGGTGATATGAGTGAAGGCCCAAACCGAGGGTCAACTACAGATAAACCTCTTATTTCAAATCAATGGTAAATTCATATCTCCTGCCTTTGTAATGATATCATATGAATTCAATGATATACTCTTCACTGTGACTTATTAGTGTCTGGAAATAAGCTGGTAGTCTTAAACTCCTTTTGATTCTGCAAACATCATAATTTACACACTTTCTTAAACAATCATGAGTGTCCATATTTCAGAATAAGACATTATTTTACTCAAGCATGGCGTCATCGGTGGTAAAGCACGTTACCCATTCATGTATTCATGGTAACTCTATATTTTAAACCTCTTTGTGCTTAATTCAATCTGGAATACGTGCTTTTGTTGGACTGGTATTTTACCCTTATAATATCCTTCTAATCACTTACGTTTGGGACTGATTCATAAGTATTAGGTTGCCGCTATCCTAGTTTTTTAGTATTTTTCTGAGAATGTGAATTTTGAGATAAGCCAGTATCCTAAAATTTAGTCGAATCCTAGGCAAATGCATGACTACTTCAGGTTTCTAAAAGTCCTACTTTATTTTTAGTGCATTTACATTTCCTTCTTAACCGCATTATATTGTGAAATGTAGTACGGTGCATTACCTGGTCCTGATAAAACTGAGCAAGTCTAATTAATGTTATCCCAATTTCGATATGAACTGTTCCCCGTTTTTACGATAGGATCTTTTAGCTTAAAAGCTAACGTTCAGCTTACCTACCTCGTCTTCAATCCATTACAGCGACGTCAATTTGAACTTTCTGCTTACAGTCGATAAAGATGACTATGCCAAACCAATCCTCTATACAATCGATGATTTACTTTGCGTAAATAGTCGCACTTTGACCTCCCGTGTCCCTGTTGGGGAGTTTGTCTCCTGCTGGTTTGCATCCAAGCACTTTTCTACGGCTTCTCCTGGCAAGATTGCTGTCAGTGATAAAGGCCTTCACTTATCAAATCGAGAAATTTGCTTGCAGAAGTCTCTCCTTCTCCCTTGGTCTTGCATTCTTCGATGGCAAAATCAGTGCACCAGTAGCAATCGTGGTGTATTTCAGGTCTATGTGGCAGGATTGGTGCACCCCTGTGTCCCCAATGATTTAGAAGCCCTACTGGCTGCTCATCGAGAGCATTCTTTTCGAGTCGATGGTTTTTCTCGTGACGCATCCCTTGATATATGCTGCCTGATTATTGTGGTTAATAATCGTGGCCACAATGACTCGCTATCAGCTGCTTTTCAAAAATTTGCCTGGTGTAGCCGTAAGGAAAGAGGTACAGGGGATTTTGTTTAAGTCTATTTATTGAGTACTTTGCTGAATTTTGTCGGGAAATTCATTTTGCACGATACCTGCGGTGGTACCAGCACGATCACAGCCAGTATTGTGCTCGTGAAGGTGAAATAGAGGCTATCAATACGTAAATTAATATCTCATACTTTTACTCGCATACGTGTTCACCCACAACTTGTCGCGACAACGCATATAGGCCTTGCAACCCTTGGTACGTACCTGAAGTAACACAGAAATGTGCATTTACAGCGAGGTGTCAGACATGGCAAAATAGCATGTGCGTAGGAGGTGCCATTAATCAGAATTTCTTCTCATATTGTGCACTTTGCGTAATTCCAAGTTCAATGATAATCCAGTTCTTCTAGTTGCGCTGTTGCGCTTTTTAACTTTTGTCAAGATCAGACTTAGTTACGATCAGTGATAAGTGTTTCTTGAGAAGGGATCTTGCGATGTGTAGACTACTGCGGGAATGGAAGGTTTACATTTTTTAAGGAGTCTCATTAAGTATTTCAGTAAAACCTTTGGTAATGTGGGTCCTTTTTTTATTCAAACAAGCCCTCTATTCTGTAGTTGAATGCACAATAAAGTGGGAGTTTTTTCGAGAAAGGTCTTACTTCTAAAAATTATTTAACGTTATGTTACCCACCTTTTTTAGCACAAAAACCACTTTTACTTGTGGTGAATAAATTCAGTGGTCAAGGTAAAGCTGAGAAGATCGTTTCCGAATTCGCAGGACCTTTGCTCACCTTTTTTGGACTCAATTTTGAAGTAATGGAAACAGGTAGGTAAGCCCACAACTTCATCCAAAACAAACATATGACTCTGATCTACCCAACTTAGGGTGATTTTCCAAAATGGAGACGACTTATTGTAAGTTAGTGCTTAGTTAGGTATCCCTTATACTACAGACACCGGATCAGATAGCTTGAAAGTACCCATATTTGCAATTCGCTAAGGCTCTAAGTCCAAAATCAGCGCCGTTTCGGTTACGTGTGAAAGTTAATTGCCATCATTTTCACAATTTTTAGGTTTTTGAAATATCTTAGCAGAGCTACTAATAAGAAGGAGGCTTTAGAGTGCGTTAATTTCTTTTAAAGCGACATCCACATGTACTAAATAAATGCTCGCAATTTTTGCATTCATAAGGAGGTATCCGTTCAAAAAATGCCCATCTATGACATTGAGAAAGTAACTTGCCGAAAAGGATTTTCTCACCTGTTACGTTCGTTACACACGCCATGTGCATGTGATACGTCAATTACTTTTTTGATTTCAATGTCACATATGTGTGACGCGCGGCCTATCAACCTAAAACAAATCATTTTGCAAATAGAGTGGTTGGGTCTACACCAAAACAACAGATGAAATGGATGCAAGGCGCTCCTGGTGGGGGCTCACCGCATCTTTTTTTAGTCATAGCCTGCACGCCAGATACTTTAGACTGCGTTGACAACTGTTACAAGCAAAGTCGACTCCTGTTATAAACTGAGGTTTCCGTGTCTCTGTCTCCCAACCTCATAAGCAATAGATAAAGGTCTGAGAGCGGATGTCTGCACTAGTCGACGTACGAGTAAACTCGGCGGTGAAACCTGCGTGCGCAACCATAGTAGCCGGCTGACAGAGACCACGCGAGTCTCAACCTGATTGAAGTGGTCGCCTTAGCCACGTTGGTTAATAGTCGATGATTAACCTTAGAGGGCTTGTTAGTGCATATAAAGTGATAATCAGCTAACGGGAAAGGGGCGAGCAGAAGAATCCCTTAATGTTTGGGAATCAGCTGCAAAAATTGGAGCACGTAAAAAATTGAACAATGTAGCGTTTCTTTTGGGTACCAGGCATTCGCAGCACTTTTCAGTTTTGTAAATCTGATAAAATTCAGTCCTCCATGATTGTCAACTAATGTCGAATAGATTTAAAGGAAGAATTTGGGGTACGTCTGGCTATTGTGGTCTCCTGACACTACGGGAGAACGCGCTTATGTGTGTGTTATGGTACATTGTGAAATGAGTCTCTGATGGAATAAACAACATAGATGTGCTGAATAGGTTTGCTCACCGTAGTGTACGTGAATGATCCTTTCTTGAAGAAGTCTAGATGCTACATCTTAATTTACGCAAAAAGTAGTAGCTAACTGATGGAATCTACAGGTAAGTTTTTGTGCCAACCCTATTACGGGATGAAAACCTGGGATCAAAGTTCCACCATTTAGATTTTCCATTGAATTCTAAAGACCGTCACACATTATCATACTTTTCTAACAGAACAGTGTATGTTGAATTGTCACAAAGTACTCTTCACGGGAGTTTTGACGGGTCTTTTGCAGAGTACAGGGGCCACGCGAATGCCTACGTCAAAAATCTGTCACTAAACGACCTATTGAAGTATGGAGCCGTTGTTTACGTTGGTGGTGATGGATTGCTCCATGAAATCGTGAACGGACTATACAGTCGAGGAGACTTAACGACCATCCCATTGGTTGGGTGCATTCCGGCGGGTAGTGGAAATGCCTTAGCCTCCACTGTTTGCTACAGATCTGGGTAGGTCCTAATTGAAAGATAGAACGCAGTGTTGCGCTGCACCTTATTTTTTATTTCATTTGGCTGCCTACTTTTAGGCAGTATTGAATGTCTCATTTTATCTTCCTACCTACGTGTCCAGTTTTCCAGCAAAAGGCCTGATCCTTTATTATTTCTAGCCGTTTATGCCTGATTTATGTCCAAAGGAACTATTTATTTGTGCCAACTGATAAACGCGTTTACATCGTAGGAAAGTTTGCGTTGAGGAAGTGCTAAAAGCTAGCTCTTACTCATTTTTATAAACATGGCCTGAATTGTCTGCCGATTTTCGGTGGATTGTGGAAAGTGAAAACTAGCACTTGGTAGTGCAAATTTTGTTTACTTATGGCAAATTTAAATTCCTAGTCTGAGCGTTATTTATATGCCACTAATATTTGTATTTGTTGGTCAGAATTTTAGTCTTCGATGCTTATTTTAACGAAGAATGGCGTTATTAGCTTAAAAACCGTGTTTTCCATAGACTAAAGGATAGAATTAATTCTTCCACCCCTCAAAGCCTTTCAACGTTGCGAGAATTCCTCCGAACCTGTTGTATCTTGCTGACACTACCACAGTCACCGGATGAGGTTACATACAGTCGGCCCACGACACCTTTCCTCTTACGTCGTTACATGCAGACTCATCAGCCGATGCTCGTGGAAGCGGATGTCTGGCCTGAACCCAAGATGTGTTCTGTGTCCATCACGTGGGGCATTGTTTCGGAAGTGGATCTTCGAAGCGAGTTTCTTCGTTGGATTGGAAGCATTCGTTTTGCTCTCATGTTTGTGTACCTACTCATGCGTAAGCGAGTGGACACCAGTTGTGCACTTTGAGATGTCATTTTTTTCTGGGCTTAAGAGTTTATTTTTGCCTTTCAGGGATGAAAAAATACCGATGTACGCTAAGCTTTCTACCGGCTGAGTTCGATGAATCCGTTTGGAAAAAACTGAAGGAGACCTTTGGAGAGAATTTGCATTTAGGCTCATTTTCAGACAATAATGCGGCGAAGGCGAGTTTGATGCGACAAATGCAAAGATTACCTTAGAAGTTACGGCTAAAGTGTAAAAGCTGCCATTTCAACTAATTCTCTACCCTAAAGTGCAGATTTTTATGACGGTTACGGTTACTTTAAAAATGCTGGTAAGAAGAAGTCTTAAGTCTGAATACCTTTCCAAGATATAGTCAGTTTGATGGATAAAAATGAGGCACAATTACTCAGGTGCAATTTTGTTACCATTTCTTTTATCATGGATCTTGGTATGTTGCTTTTGAGCTGCTTTTTAATTATTTTGAACGTGGAATTAGTTAAGCTTGAAGGTACTGGCTAGCAGAAATTCAGGTTAATTGGTCTGCTGAAGAAAGGAGTCGGTTGTTTACATTAATCAACAGACCACTGATAATTAATTGGGTTTTAATGTATAATTAGTCAAATCTGTTGGTCATTTCGCTACTTATTCTTATTTTTAGTGGATTCTAGTCTATTTAAAAACCCTTTAGCATAAATTCAATGGAATCCGAGTTTGCTGTTTGAAGTAAATCCAAATTAATTTGTTCATGATTTAAGCGAATAAGTAGTGCCTTTATTTGTTACGCATTGGCCAATTATGAATGAGTGGTTACTACTTATTGCTAATAAATTTTCTGGTATTTTGAATATGAAGTCAGTAGAGTTTGGTCTTAGTGTTCGGTGTAAATCACATTTCATTTTGCTTTAGACACCTTGGGAAAAAAATATAAATGCACTACTATGCGAAAATAGGAGCATCTTTCCCATTCCGCAGTAATTTGATACCCTCGTGATCCTTTTGACCGGATATTTTATTTTAGAAGGACATTTCTGAAGGAGCTAAAAATCTTAGTTCTTCACACAAAAAAAGGAAAAATGAGAGGTGGGATTTTCACTAAATGCATAATTCAAGCAAATATTAACCCTAATATGTATGTTTACCTTTTGGGCTCTTACACCAACTGGACTCTCGTCCTTCTTTTACAATAAAGTTGTCCATTATTTCCACTAAAATTGCGCTGAGAAGAAGACAATGTTTCACCCTCAGTATTACCGTGCTCGTATTTCTACAGGAGACGTTAATCATCTTCTCTCGACATGATATAGTCACACGATTGCTGGATTAGGGAAAGTGAAATGATGGCTAGGGCTAGGCTTAGTTGTATGTCTCCAGTGGCATAGGGTCTTAGTAAAGATGGTCTTCTTGGCTGGCTCGTTTCTTTGGCAATAGCTTGCACATTGTGTACGTGTATACCTCAATGAATGAAGTGTTTTCCAAGTCTAGCGAATGTAAAATGTTCACCCGTTACTTTTATAGCAAGCATGTGTTTTTATTTGTTCGCTTTCGTTACCTAGAATTCTGCCCAGTTTGAATGAGAGTGTACCGGAGGAATGGATTAGCATTACCTCCAGCTTCATTGGAATAAATGTTATCCATACCTCGCATTTGGCTACTGATGGTGTCTACTTTGCAAGCAAGACCCTCGGCTCTGATTACATGATTCTCCATCTAATGCCCTTTAATATGTCCAGGTGAAATTGTTTTCTCAAAAAGTATTTTAGGGTTTAAATGTAATGTGGAATTGATTGCTCAGCTCTATTCCCAAAATTATATCGGAAAAAATTTATCAGGAACTTCATGATTCTTTTCAAGACAAATGTTTGTAAACCTCGCTTTTTTATTACCCATTCTGTAAGATCCAGTCGTTTAGATATTCCTGTTATGCACTTTTCATTCTTTAAATCTACCTTGACAACCGAATTTTCTCAAGCACTAGCTGTTTGAAGCGCTTTTATTTTTGGCCATCCCATATTTGCACAATGAAGCCACTTTTTAATGAGATCTTCATAAACTATCGTGATTTTGTCATAAGCTCTATACGTTTAGCTTCCGTGAGGGGTGCGTAGTAGTTACTGGTGCCTAAAGTCTTGCGCTCTTACTGCAGGTCAGAGCTGATGCGGTTAATGCGGACCAGCTATAACGGACATAGCTCGGAATGTTCAAAGACTGGAATTGCTCTTTCCGTCAAGGCTTTTCGCATCTCCACTGATACGGCGACCTCGCGGTTGCCTTTCATGTGGAGCGCCGATGGAGAACCCTTTGAGGGAATCGCAACAATGCAAGCCCAGGTGTATCATAGAGGATATCCCCTCATTGCTCTTCCGCCGGTTTCGCGGAATGCGTTGAATCATGCTCCCGACTTCGACTAGAAATCCATAATGACAATAAAGCACTAACTTTTATGTCCTTTTTGGCACATTAGGGTTGGTATATTCATTGTTAGTCCTTGAGTTTAGGAAAGAAATGGTGGATTTTACCATATCTATTCATTTAGCAAGCTAGAAAATACCCTCTCCCCTGATTCTACTAGTATAAACCATTCAGTTGCGAATAGTATATCGAGGGCTCCATCCATTCTCATCTGTAATGTAACTCACGCTTTTTTGAAATTTGTCAGTTTTTCATCGTGGATTGTGTGTCTGTTTCATCTACTGCCTCGAGGAAGCTGTACCTTCCTCTATAAAGTAATTTTTCATGTTCTTAATATTCGCAGAGAGCTTAGTCCTGTGCCCCCTACTCAGAGGTGCACCAGTGTATTCGGATGATTGTGTACATACATATTTTATATGTATATATATTTTTGTTCTGTAAGTGTGGAACCAAAGATAGAGGAAAGCCGGGATCTATTACTTTTAGGCATAATGGGATTTGGTTACTGTCGTTTTGAGTTCTTTTTACTTACTTCACAAAAATAGGCATAGTATTTAATCGCTCAACTTTGCATTGGCGTATCACATATTCATTGGCTACGAATCCCAACAGGGCCAACGAACCCGGGGATCGAAATAAATTCATCAACTGCCGAAGAGAGTGTAGGTGTCAATTCCCTATTATCTTTTTACCACCTGTGTAATTTCGCATTCGATGAACACATTAGCCATCAGTCGAGTCGGGCTTCTTGATCAAGGAGCTTGTGTGGGACGAGGCCCATAGATCTCTTCTTGCCCAACCCTCACACCCTTAGAAGACTTATTTATCTGCCCACTTCAATCATCAAAAAAATACATTTTAAGACTGAGTTAGTTAATCGAAGGATCTAATAGGACTGATTAAAAGCAGAAAGAGCCTGCAAATCGTAGGCAAATGCTTCAAAAAGGACTGCGTTACCACTGAAAGGCGATTTGGAGGAATGCATAGCTTTAGGACTCGCGAATATGTTTTTCTAATTGTGCTTATATTTAGGGTCGCATTAAGTTATTTAAGATGTAAAGCGCTGTAAAAATATAGGTTGGTGCACCAAAACCCACTGAAATAATATGTGCACAATTTTTTAGAGACTTTTATCCAAAGCGAATTTCAAAAACCAAGGAAAATAATTGTTTGTTTATCTGTGCCAAACAACACCTAAGGTTCCTCGGTCGATACAGCCACCCTTTTGATAACGGTGGACGCAAGGCGAGTCTTATTTTCTCATTTCTGTCTTTCCTTTTCAACCAATGAGCTCTATTCCACCAGCACCCCCTTTATTTTTTTCGTCAAAGTCAAAAAAGGTGAATTGTTTTCTTTTTCTATTTGGAATTTAAGGTCATGCTTGAAGATACATACTGCTATAAGCACTGTCGAAATTGCATTTTTGCAAACTGCCCTTCCCAAGAGTGCTGTGTTGTAAAGTGTCCCCTCAGTTGCGGCTACCAAATGCATGCATGCAAATTGGAGGATCATGTTAACAATATTTGCCCCCTTACCGAGGTTTCCTGCATTAGTGCCTCATTTGGTTGCCCTCGAAGAATGCGACGACAATTTATCAGTCATCACCTGCTTATATGTCCTGCGAGTATCGTTCATTGCACAGCTGAGTGGAACCGCATGCCCCGGTACATGTTTGACTTAGTTTTGTTTATTTGTTCAATAGTCTTCTTGGGGAAAAGCGCCCATTTCTTTTACCACCGACGTGTGACTGCTGCAACAATAGCAATGTATTTATGACTCGGCTGACCGACCCTCATGTCTCACCAAGCCACTCCTGTTTACTCAGTTATCATACGGACAAGTTTGATCTTGCTCTTACTGCCAGGGACCAGGCAGTTCTTGAAGCAGGTTCCAAAGTTTCTGACAAAACCAAAGGTGCATTGAGAAGTGATTTAACGAAGCTTTATCCTGCTCTGCCAATGACATCACCTCTTTACAATGGGTGAGTTATAGTTATTTTTATTCCAGGTTTTAAAAGTGTGCTTATGCTTTCAGTTGATGGATCCAAATTTCCAGCGATTTCATCTCTGCATGCTGTGGTTCCTGCCTCACCATCTGGGTTACCTATTTCTGATATTTCTGATCAAAAATCTTCTTATTTGGATTCAACGGGATTCAGTGGTTATGTGCTAGATTGTCGCGGTATGTACAGTTGCTTTTGTAGTAAATTGCTAATACGTATATCGGTATTTTTGTTTATTAGTTTATTTTCATTTATGATGCTAGAGTTCTTATATCTGGAAGCCCATCATGATATTATTTTAGCTGATGGAATTCCCGAATTTGATATGGGACTTTTCAAATTATTTCTTTGTTGAATAGCATGCATTGGTTCCAGGTGTGCCTTAAAATGTTTCTGTGGGTGGGTGCTAAGGCTTATTTTCCCTGTTTGTAAATCACGAGTAAAATTAGATGAGCACGTCTTTACTTGATATTTTGAGTAGTTTTAATGTCCGTAACACCTCCATGCCTTCTTTTCAGTTTCTATTTAAATCGGCTGAATGCGTCTTGATGCCTCCCTCAACATGCTTCTTTTTGTCACTTTCTATATTCTAGGACAAATTTTGGCATTGTACATCTACTGCATAGCCTTTTAAGCTACTTTATTTCTGAAATCTATTTGCGTTTAAGGTTTTATCCTTCTAACTACTAACTAACTCGTGGTTTCACAAGAGATGCACGATTTGAGTTTGTTGAAAAAAGGAAACACGAAGCCTAGTTCCCGTGAATGATTTACAGAAAAAATACATTTTATGCTGTGAAATAAGGGAGAGGATGTACTTCTACCGCTTATTTCATTGAACGGCAGTGTGGATGAATGAAACGAGGTTGGGAAGGTGAGGCAAGGGGGATAAAACGGGTACTATTGGCGCTGCCGACATAGCTAAACCATTGGTTCTGCCGTGAAGGTCAGAAGGCTGATTTTAGCCAATCTGCACCCTGTTTTCGTGCATCAATCAGCGTTTGCAGGTATTTCGCGTACGTAAACATTACCTCGCAAGAAATTAGCCAGAAGTTTATGACGAGCATTTTTAGCCTTCTGACGACAATGCGCATTCTATCTGAGTGGGCCATTGTCCACAGTTTTGTGTTGATTTTGCTTATATAGTGAGTGCATTGTCTAATAAATAAGAATTTTCGACGGAATCTTTGAATGATTGGTCCAATTTTGATCGGGTTTTTGGACGTCATTGTCAAAGTGCGTTGATACAGTCTCCACTTTTTTTCATTTTCTACCATAAAGTGTCGATTTATCAGCTCTTGTGCCGTTTTTATTTCCTCCTATGCTTTTGCTAAAAAAACTTTTGAGGGTCAAATCATTCTTGAATAGTCTTAAATCCACTTCCTTTATCTAATTTGTATGCTGTTAACCCCGCCCGGTATTCGGTGCTCCTGGTTGTCTAGAAATTTGGAAATTTGCCAAGAGTTAGCCATGCAAAGTATCCGGTATCTCCTATTCCCAATCCCATGCCTAAGTTTTCCTGACCTATGTGTATGTGCGAAAGATTTGCAGCGTTCAATCCCCTGTAAATTAAGTTGACTCTAATCAAATCTTCGCCTCTTTGCATGCAAGCTCTTACCTTGGTTTGAATTAGGCACGTGACGCATTAGTACTAATGCCTCACTCCAAGATCTGGTATATTAGTGGCTCTGCGTCTATGATAAAGTCGTTAGTGTTCTCCTATTCTTCTCAACCTAGTCAATCGAAGGTGTCACATAAAGCAAAGGCAGTAGCTAATGCATGCATTATTTCTCATTCAAATGCATTCTCTTCTATCATACTTGCATTTTAACTTTGGCGTGGCAACCGCTTTTGCGTGGTGAAATCCACACTTACTGAACCTTCAAAGACATTGATTAACGTGTTTGTGTTACCCTTACCTCGACCCTTTGTGATTGTTATGGGATGCAGCGCATGTTCTAGAACAGCAGGGGATTTCGGCATTTGAGGAATTTTTCTCACTTTTTTTTGCATTTACATACTCCAAGGAAGTTTTCCTTTCCAAAACTTTTAAGTAATTTGTCCCATCTAGAACGTTGACATATTTCATCGTCCAAATTTACAAAACGCATTATTGTGTGGTTAAAAATCTAATAACTTTTTGCTTTTTGAAATTTTAATATCTGGTGGAGTTATTATTTAATTTAGGTTAATTAAATGAGGTTTTTCTTTCGTAATATCTACTTGTAATTTGATCACTCCAATCGTTCAAAGCTCTTCATCTTTTGGTGATGGGGATCAACTTCCAACGCATCACTTCCGGGAGCCTGAAAGTAGAGGGACGTGAATTTGGTCACTAGAATCTTGGGATCATGTATGGTTCTTCGGAGGGTGTGTAGTTGCTTTAGAATTTTGAGGTACCATTACTTGTGGCTCATTTCGCGCAGACTTCGTATAGCATTTTGCTGGGCAACAATATGCTTAAGTCACGAGTTGCTTGCTAAATTCCACTTCTAGGCCGTTTGGAAAAAAAGTACTTGGTGCCCCAAGTAGTACGCGTAAGTGCATAACGTCATGTTTTCCGCCAGAAATGCGCCGTAAGTTGATATCTACTTTAATCGGTATCCGCATTAGTCTGTCTTTTATCCACCTCCAGTGCGTTCTAGTGCATTGAAGAACACCAAGAATTTGGAGGGCTAAAATAATCATGTCATGCATTTTTTATGCAATTTTTTCAGAATGATTAAAAAATTTCGGCCTAACTTGCTTTAAAAAGGAGTATTCCATTGGTTTAAAGAGTTTTCTAGTTTGGGAGTTTTGGTTTATCATTGATAGGGATGTGCTATGTGAATAATGCTTTGATCACATAAGCTGCATAAGAGTGAGTGCGACTGGATACTTGCCACCTGGACAGCCGTCATTGTGTAGACACATTTCCAAAGTGGATGTCACTTTTCTTAGGGATTGATTTTTTAAGCTCTTTACGATGAAGAAGGTTATAATATGCATAGCTGATAGGTCTCGTTTCAAAGACTGAACGTTGGTTTTTAAGGCGTAGGAACCCTATCGAGTGTGTTCAAGTGTCTTGTTAAGCCTTTTCAGGCTGCAAATGTTCTGGGAATGTATTTGCTCAAGATGTTTTGATGCATCATCACCCCGATCGCCGGTTGTGGGGCAGGTTTGTGGCTTTTATAACGCATGGTAATCACACGAGCGGTACCACAGATGAAACCGCGGTCAAATAGGGCTCTTCTCCAAGTGTTTTGCTCAGGAGCCCTAATTTACATCAGGTTAATTGCTAGCTGCTCTTTTTGAATTTTCACGTATGATAAGATGTTATTTTACGACACTTTAATAGGCATTTCTTAGATATTATTTTCAACCATGTTTAGAAGCTTCTAAGTTTCATTGGCAGAGTGGATCTTTCCAAATAAACCAATGGTCGTACTGACAAGTCATTCAGTATGGAGTTAAATTTTCCCATCTGACATTCTCTAGGTTTGATTTTCAACTTTTGTAGATGACTCCAACAGCAGCAACGTTGGTAAGGATGAGAAGGGAAAGTCATTTTTTTCTGCAGTGACACCTGTGCAGCTCCCAGGAGAGATGGGGGAAGGAGAGAGTGGAGACGATGTCGGAGGCACCGTCTCCATCCCTGCCACCGCTGCTGCCTCAAGTCCCACAACAATGCGACTCTCCTCCTCTTCTCCTCTCACCGAGAAAATGTCCTGGGCCATCAGCGATCGCAGTTTGCAGGTTTGCAACACACCCCTTCCCTTTAAACACTCAGGTGACTATTCACCTCGCTCCATCCCTGGTTACTTTTATCGGGCAAAATTCGTTTCCGACGGAGTCCATGATTTATTTTCATGTGGTTGAAGAGGCAATCATAAGTCTTCTCACCTCGAAGCCCAATTAGGAATAAAATCACATCTTAGATTGCAATAAGTCACACCAAGACGAGAGTTTTGGGAGCTTGTATGTATGACTGGAGAAAGGACTCTGCTGTTTAGTGGAAGAGAAGGCTGTGGCAACCTAGCAGCTGGCGCGGTCATGCATACAACTAAACAAATTATCAGGTCACTATACCGCCTGTTTAAAATAAATATTTACAAATGGTAAGTGGAGCTTTTATATGTGTCAGATTCTGCCAAGGTAAAATTTGGTGTTTAAAACGCTATTGCTTTTTTGCTTAGCATGCAATTGTTTATAACGAAGGTTAAAGCAATGAGTAGGACGGGCGTTTCCTCCATTTTCAATTCTAAGAATTCTTACTTAACTTATTTAACAATGTGCTCATTTGTAAATGAAACCTTGTGTTTTGTTCTTTCTTACTTGGGACTCTTTTTGTATAGTTAAAGCTTTTTGCTCAATAGGCACAACAAAGAGCCCTTTTTCAGTTATTTTCATAATAAAAATGTTGATTTACTCACTGTTATTCGTATCTCTGTCTTGTCTTTTCTAAGCTTATAAAATTCTCCTAAAAATTTACGGTTTGAAGGAATATTACTCGAGCTCAATTTTGCTTCAATTACGAATTAAGCATGGTCATTTTGTTCAAATATATGACTTTCGATGAAAACTGGCCAGTTGCAGAAATGGAATTGTAGTGATTTGATGCTTTTTAACTGTGCATTGGTCTCCGCTGGCATTTGTGCCCGCAGTCTGTACTTCCGCTTGGTGGCAAGACTCTCGGGCCACGCTGGTAGACTCACGGCCATTCTGCAACGTCGTGGCTTATTACGACCTCAGGGAAATCTCGGGACGCTTCATCGGTGACAGCGGCAGGCAAATCTGGCTTAATAGTATAGCTACCTCGATTTCTGTGGCTGAATACTAAGCATCCAAATGGCAGAAGAAGGGCTGGAGAGCTACTAGTATGGTCCGAAGCCTATGTCACTGGGCGAAGAGACAAATCATGGAGATCTAAGCGCCCACATAGTTTAAAACACAGCCAAGCAAACTATCAAATCACTGCAGAACTAATCTATGCAAAAAAAAAAATTTTAAAGGCTCCTTGTAAACAAGTGGCGCAAATGGGCTGCGCATGTAATAATTCTGTTAAGCCATTAAATTTATCACGCTTCTTTCAACATTTCGTCAATCCCACTTTTGTTTTACCTACTTTTTTCCCGTTTTCTTAAATCTCTTTTGTGAAAATCAAATTTTTATTTCAGTTTTATTTTAAGCGTATCTAGCAGAAACAATGCATTTCAGAAGGAGTGACTTACTCTCTACTCAAGAATCTCATTTTATTTCATTGACGCCCTGTTTAATTCCCCATTTTGTTTTAAACAGTTCACGAAAGTGAAAGTGTGCGTTTGCTACATGAAAGGCTTAAGCGATGTGATTACTTAATTTTGTCTTTCTTTGGGAATCTGACTAGATTTGAACCAAGGCTACTTTTCATTGCTTGCCATTGCAGCTCAATCATTACTAATCATCCATTTTACTATGTTAGACCACTTATGGGGAGTTTCGTGCAGTGTCCCTCTTAAACATGCTCTTGAGTAGCTGGCCAAACAATGCTAAAGAGGTCGGTCTTTAGTTTTGCAATTAGGCTAATTTTACTGATTTGGGAGGAATGATTAGAGGGAGATATCTTCTACAGCACCAGGGGGAGGGAGGCTCATGGATTACCAACGTTTTTTGGGGGGTGGGTTAAGGAAGGAAGAGGAAAAAGTGGAATCTGGTAAAGTCCGCTCTGCCATGAGGTTGGTATAGACTGCCCGCGTGCCATCTAAAAGGTTTACTCAAGCAGGCATGTATTGCGGTTTATTCTATTGCATTTTTTAAAAATTTTTATAAGTTGAAGGAGTACTTTAAGCATAAATCAAAATATGGTGAACCTCTCTAGATGAAAACTGCTTGTCAAATAGAGGGCTGAAGCTACAGGCAACTATTTTGCATTGGTTCAGAGCGATGAATTGCAAAATAATATTTTAGGTGGACTGCCAAATGGAGTTTTTTCCGCGATACGTACAGAAGCCGCCAGCGATGTATACGTTCCTCTGTGACCAGGACATTCCACGTCGTTCCTACGCATGCCACACTCTGTTGCACTCGGAGGCGGTGGTTCAGGTTGACTACTGGCTGGAGCAGCGTTGTCCCCTCGCTTACCTTGGCTGCCCTTTCTCGGTGGTGCGTCTACGACCCAACTCAGCGGCTGCCAACCTCGCCTATATGCCCACTATCAACGCCTTTACTGTGCGTTACACCTCCGCTAACACCTCCGATTCAAACACCGCTACCTCGGCACCAAGCGCAGTAACATCAACCCACTCCTTTGATACCACCTCTCCCAGCAGCGCTATTGCCTCCGCAGCTCCGTCACCCATCGCCTTTAGCACAATCTGTCGTCTAGATCGGCTGCCGCACCAAGTCCTTAAGCGAATCATTGACATGCTCGATGAGGTAGGTTATCTTCGGCTTGGGAATTTCGCTACCTTATCTATAACAAGTAAGCATTTTTAGTCATTTGTGGAAATTTTAATCACATTGACCCTGTCACAGTGAGGACTTTCCCACCATCAAACTGAATCTCTTGAATAACCGAACAAAGATCATCTTGTATCTACAAAATAGCGTCCATAATTATTGTCAACTTTAAGTTTCTCGCCTCTTAAACTACTGGGCTTTTTGAAGGGGATCCAAGTAATTCCTCTGCTCTTTAATTAAAGAAGCTAGATCCCTTTTGAATTCCGACGTCACTACATTTTAGTTAAATCTGTTTAAGTTCCTACTTTTGTAGGAGGCATTTCTCATTGCAAGTTGGTCGGTCAGCGCAAACTAATGCGGGGTAAAGAAAATACAGAATCGTTTTAAGGTTTATTGTCATCTTCTGTTTCATAACATAATTTAAGTTAAATAGTGCTAAAGTTCTTGTCGCGTCATTTTTGAGTAAATAGTCTTTTCAAATCAAATGGTTTAATCAGATCATCTTGGGGCGCTGCATTCTGCGGATCTGCCCTCTCCACATTGCAAGCCGTAAATTTGACGAAAATATTCTACAGCTTTAGGGCAAGAATTTCAGCTTGTCAAGCAAGGTAGTTGCAATCGCATCAGGTTTGATTAATATTTCATTACATGAAGGTTTTGGATAACGGGAGAGCAGTATAGGGGTTAATAAGGAGCAACCTACCAAAATATGGTGCTTATTTAATGGCCGCAATTTAGAACATGCTATTAAGACTAAATGCACTGTAAACCGGATAAGCTTTTTGGTCAATTGATATTTCTTTTGTTACGTTTTTGTTGGAGTAGTTCCCTCTTTGTAGCGGCGATAGCTGTTCATCCACTTCACTTGAGCACACTTGATTTATTCTGAACGATTCCAAAAGAGGGAAGTTGACCCGTAAAGTAAAAATTGGAGATAAGTCTATTGCCTTTTATGCATGACGGTACCCTCTTCCTCTCACTTTGGTGCAATTTGGGTTACATTTTCGCTAGCATTCACATCAGGATGCCATCCCGCACACGAAAGTGAACGGCATTTTGCCTGCAAGGCAGAGCCAGTCATGCTTAGCGTATGCTTTACCCTCCAAGAGCATGACATTTGGCACAACGTTTGTTATGTCATTCTGTAGGTGTCTCTTTATCCATGTTTCCTGATCTGTTTGGTTCCGATCAACTGTGGAGTAATGTTGTGATAGGAACTGGGGATACACGTCCTGACTAGCTTTAAACGTCCTGCTTGGAGTTCTTTTTTGAAGTGTTTTGCGAATTGGCAGTTGCGGAGACATTTAACAGCGATGAGATGAGAATGTGAATGACATTTCTAAGTTGCACTTGGTTGAAATGATTCTGTATTAAGCTTTACTGGGTAGGTTAGGCTGTCGCTATAGATTTTTGGGTGGATCGCAAAATTCTTTGCTATGCAAAAGTCCCGCAAAATTTGAAGTATGTTTGATTCCTGCCCCAAGTGAGTTTAATGTAGTCTTGGTACCGAGTCATTTAAAGCATTAAAAAGATATCTCGAAGTCGAATACCAATGGAAGTGATAACTGGTTTGTGGTAGTCGGTTTTTTTGGGTAGCGAAAATTTCCGAGCGGCCTAGCAGATTTCTCTAGTCACGTCCCGTGATAGGAGGTGTGCATTTCAAATTCATTGTAGCTTCAGGCTATCTGGATAGCTTTCTCAGTTTGTTCTCAGTTTCCTAATAACGTTGGCATATGTCAGGTCGTTTTTCCTCGTTTTGCGATTACATAAACCACCTTACCATAAACAGCAGTGACATAAAGTCCTCCCCTTGTCTCCTACACTTTTAGACTTCCTGATGGACCCTAAAATGTCTTAAGAGGTCCCTCGAGCTCCCATTTGTCAGCATCACAAATATAATCGTCGTGATATTGGAATGGAGGCAGAAATAGTGATGAGCTATCAATTCCTTTTTGGGATTTGTGGACCTAGTCATCTGCCATTCGGATCATTTGCTCATACTCGGTGCGCCTTATTACTCACATCTTATGGGTTTCTATAGGACCGCTTGTTGCGTTCTGTTCACAGACGTCATTTTAAAGATTCATTTTCTGACTGTAGCTTAGAACGCAATCTGTTTATTCAATGTGTATCTCCTCCTGGTGGAGTTAATGATGAAGAACGCGCTATTGCAGTGGTTTTTACACACCAGCATGGTTTCAATGGCTTTTTAGCCTTTATAGATTCATCCATCTATATGTATGTTAATCGATTAATGTATCTAGATAAGTTTTTTAGGTGAAAGAGCCGTGGAATGTTAGGATTCCTATACGAATAAGACGTATTTCGACCCCTTCAGCTACCCTACAGAAATACGACAAGTTGAGAAATATTCATCTACCCGAAGACGTGTTACAAAGCGTCCCAGCTTGCCAGTCAAAAATTGACATTTTTTTTACATCACAGATGAGTCTGGTGAGTCTGTCTCAAGTGTCGAAGCAGCTTGCGGACGTGTGTCGGCGCTCACTGCCCTCACGGGGTATCGTGGCTCCGGTATGGCAACGCGAATTGCGGGCAGGTTGGCGAATTAGCGGTTTTGCGTGGAGTTTGCCGACTTGTGGGGAGCCGGTACGTCGCTGGCGAATCACCGACTCGCCCGCCCCTCTGGGAACGCAGATGACACGCCACCTGCACTCCGAGTGCGCGTTCTACGAGGCACTGCGGGCGCAGCAACCCTTTTGTCTTTATAATCCCTCGGAGAAGCCGCCCTTCCTCTCGGGCGCCGAGAGAGAACCAGAATTTATCTAGTATCCCCACTGTGAGAGAGTGGTACTTGTGATATGATTGAATATACGTTTGCTTGTAAGTGATTTGACTTTTGAAACTAGACGAAAGAGGGTAGGCACAGTAAGGCTCGCTGCTCACTTTGCATCGCTGTTATTGCTAGAGTAAAATATAACCTTTTCTTAACAGGCTAGAAGCTCTCACCCATGATCGTGCCGCTGTCTATAAACCATCTAATCAGTAGTGATAAGTGTCGTCCGTACAGAGCAATGGGGGGCCACGCTGCCCTGTTACCCTTCTCTTAAAACTTGTCTCCTGCAATCTGTCAGGTCAAAATGCAAGTATTGCATTCCAGTACTCGGTTCCCCTCAGATTTCAGATACTCTAGCTTACAAATTGAGTTGTAGGTGTCTGCGTTGCTTTGGGCGCTTGGATTAGTTAGAGCAGGAAATGACACTCAACAACTACAAAATTAAGCCTAAATTGGTTCACTGGTGAGAACTTGCCTAATATCCGTATCCTAGTGAAACCATTTAACTCCAACTGAAAGATTGATTATGCGTCTTTAGCGTCCTTGTGAGACTGGTTGCGCAAATCATTTCAACGAGGGCAATTTTCAGGTTTTTGTTCCGAAGCGGCAAAATCTGGCGCAAAAGTCCTCAGTACGCATCGAATTCACAGCGGCGATTAGACGATTTCAGGAGAGGGAATTGCTTAGGTTCAAGTAAACTATTCTGCGGTTCTTAATGCGATTTTACTGCGATATATTTAAACACAGCCACGTTTTTTTCCAAATTGCCTTTTAAGTAGAAACAAACCGTGTTGGAAGGGAGGAAGATGCCATTATCTGTAAAGACGGGATGGAGTCATAAATTTCCGTAAAGAACATCCGGTGCAATCAAGACAATAAGCCGCCTCATAGCCTCCAATATGATGACAAATTGGAAGCTAATCAAATCACTTAAATACATTTATTATAAATTTTGGCTTCGACGCAAACCTCTGGTATCCCAACACTTTTTGAACAACGCGCCTAAATAAATGCCTCGGCAATTGTGCCTATAATTCTCAGGCCTTTTGAAAGCCCAAATTAACCTTGTTACAATTACATGGCTTTTTATACCCCAAGGGGAGACAAAACTCTGTCAGAAAAAGTGCGGGCATGAATACTGAAACTTGCATTTGCCAATAAATATTTTTGCTCGAATAATTTAGTTTGGCATTTTGAAAAATTTTTAAAATCGAATATTGGAGCAAGATTTAAATGATTTTATAAGAAGTGACTTAACTGACAGGTACAATCTTGGGTACTTTTGAAAGGCCCCTTAACACCATTGGGTATTTTGAACATGCCCTTGAATTAAGTGCTAACTCAGTCTACGTCGGTGACTTTCTTCACCTTGGAATCTGTGCACATCCTTGCGATGCTGGGAAAAGTGTTAAAAAGCTCATTTTTAATATTTTTGGGTGGCTTTTTTATATGGCCATTGCGCTGAGTGGTGTTTCTCATTGATGCACTATCCCCTATTTTAAAGACTTGTCGTTATTTCGTATTTGAATATTCTTATGCTTCGTTTTTGCTTTATTTTCAGCTCGTTTTCACCCGCATGGCGGAGTTCGTTAGACATATGAGTGATACGAAAGTGTTGCATGATCAATTGATCAGGTGTTTTGAGGGTTTACTTCAAGGCGTCGACGACGTTTTTGTTCGTGCCTGTTTGGGAGCGCTGCGATACAGTCGATCTAATTTTTATGATCTTGTTGAGTATGCCAGAGAGAAACTCAATACTGGCTACTGGCGTGATGTTCCCGACTTTTGGCGTGAATCGTACTCCCTCCTACGTCTTGCTTCTGTTCTCTCATGTTTATCCGCCTCAAAAGACGGTAATGATTGCGATGTGGAGTATGTGATGTGGCTGCTCGATGACGCTCTCATCATGGGTCACTCTGACAGTCTAGGTGAAGTGATAACTAGTCTGGCTAGTCAAGCTAATGCTTTTCTTACTGAACACCTCCCCACCATTTCCTTCCCGAGTCGCTACTCCGACGTCGATACTGCACCTCCGGAGTTAACAAGTTTCACATATTCAAGTGAGGTAATTTCGGAACTAGAGCGTGTTCATCAGCCGTCTATTGCCGAATTTACCACCATCCTTGCGGCTGGAATCCCCGTCATCATAACCGGCGCGATGTCCCACTGGCCTGCATGCAACGAAGCTTCTGATCACTACTGGTCGCCGGCGTACTGGTCAAAGACGGCCGGCTATCGCACCGTTCCCATTGAGGTTGGCGCTGCCTATACTGATGAGTCTTGGGGTCAGCGCTTGGTTACTGTGAACCAGTTCTTCGAGACCTGTATCCTCAATCCAGCCAAAAATCAGCCTCTTGGGTACCTAGCACAGCACCAAATTCTTTTACAAATTCCTGAGTTGGCAAATGATGTGGACATTCCTGAATACTGCTACACTGGTGTAACAGATATGAACTCCCGTGAAACCACAATTGATAGCAATATATGGATCGGTCCATCTAATACCGTCTCTCCCCTTCATCACGACAGCGATCGTGCCAACTTGCTCTGTCAGCTGATAGGAAAGAAATATGTTAAACTATATAACGCAGATCAAACCGAGTTCATCTACCCGCATGTTGAGAATTCGATGCTTTCCAACACCTCACAACTCGATGTTGCCAGTCGGCAGCCGGATTTTGACAAGTTTCCCAAATTCCAGCAGGCTCGTGGTTTTCATGGAATCCTTGGACCTGGAGAGATGCTTTTTATTCCACCGCGTGGATGGCATTATATTCGTTCCCTCACCACTAGCATTTCCATGAACTTTTGGTGGTGTGTTGACGATCATTTCATTTCTTCTTGGCCTGAGTGTTATAAAATGTGATTGTTTTGTACACTTTGTAACACATTTTGTGAATATAGTAATGCCGTTTGTAAGTGTTTGCTGTTTTGTTGTTCATTTGCTTCGGTTTATCTAAAGGCGTCAGCTGGCAACCGGTACGCATATTACTTCGATTTTTCAGCCTTGCTAAAATGAGCAATCCTCGATCCAAGGAGGACAATTCTTTCGATCTAGAACAGCAGTTCATCCTTCGAATGCCCGAGGAAGCTGCTCGATATCTAGCCGAAGATATTGATCTTGGCGTTTCTTTTAAGGTATCTCAGATTATTCTTCTACCCTCTTGGCTTTCATTTTAGGATTTTCCAAATTTTAAGGGCTACATGTAGTCATTAGTTGTTCCATATTTCGGTTCCTTGTCCCGTTCATTGTCCTTTAAGGACAATTTTACAGTGGAAATGAAGCCGGATATGCGTCACTGCATAGTGCGCTACAATGGCCAGGTCTACCAGGGTCGAGTGATGGATCTGCCATGCATAATCGAGTCGCAGAAGACAACGGATAGGAAGAATTTCTATAAGACCGCTGACATCTCCCAGATGATCATTTGCACACAGGACGACGATGGCACAGCTCCGATTCGAGGTTCTGCCGCCTACCTCGCCGCGCGGTCATTGCATAATCGGCCTCAACCGAGCAACACTTATGGGTTAGTCTTCTTGAAACAGTTGTTTTCGCCAATAAAATGCATGGTGCACTATTTTTAATCGTTCTGATGAAATTGTAGGCGAGATAATCGGGAGTTCCAATATCTGCATGGTATAACACCTCCGCTAAAGAATGTCCTTCGGCGGCGTTTTCGCAAGACTCGAAAGAAACGGTCTGTAGACATGCCTCAGATTGAGAAAGAGGTGAAAAATCTACTGCGTGCTGATCTTCAGGCAGATTTCGTCACGTGAGTTTCTCTTCCTTGGAGTCAACGCTGATTTGATCGTAATGGCTGGAAAGGCTTGTATCACCTCACCATATATGAATGCCGTTGAAATTCACGGCTGTTCATCCGTTATATCCCTATATATCATTGTCGTTAGTCTTCTACATTATTTTCTGCTTGAAACATCTAAGAAGTTATCTTTTATCAAAATGTAAATAGGGACTTGCTTGTCTCTGGTATTCTGCTTTTTTATTTAATGGAGTGAGTGGATTGCCTTGCGCAATGGATTTGATATCGAAAAAAATGTTGCTTCGACTGCAAAATCAAGATAAATTTCTCCGATTTGAAGTTGGCGTCTTACAACAAAAACTCATCTGCAATTTGGGGGGGGCTCACACCCAACTTTTTATGCTGGTTTGTATCTTTCGTCTTTGATTTTGCAGAAGAAAAAAGTTGACGGATCTGTAATACTTGCGGAAGGACATGAAAGAGAATAGGTTAGTAGTATCTTAGGGCTTAGTGCCACTAATTTCTACCAAACTGTCTGTTTTAGGAAAACATGATAATGTTTTGCCATACGACTTTTGTAGCCAGAGTACTAGATGATCAGGTGACTAGTTCAATAGCTCCTTGAAATAGCTGGGTTCGTTGACCTGTACTTCGTAGAGACTGAAAGAATGCCTGCGTTGTAGACGTGGATGTACTTCAATTTACCGGTTCTCGACAAATCTGCTATATAGCATAAGTAGAAAATTTGGTTGCAGAAATGACTTAAACGGCTCGGTTCTTGTGATAAACTGCAAGATGATTGCGTGTCATCTTCAGGAAGCCCTTTTATCCTTGGTAGTAATGAAGAACAGCGCTTTGCCTTTGGAGTATTTCGAGCAAAATCTGTTGGAAGCTTTCGGGGCGAGCGATGGAACAGCTACTTCAATTCGTGTGGGTTCCCGAGCAAATGGGCGTCACATGCACAAACAGCAGCTGGCAAATAAATGCGAAGACTGCCAATCTTTTTTCGCCCCATTTTACGTTTTTAGTTTTCATTCTAATTCAGGATAGCTAACACCTACCAAACGATGTATGAAATCTACTAAAAGATGGTAGTCTTTAGCTTAGGCTCGATATCTTTCAGGATAACATAAGGTTTAATTTTTATAGGCCCTTTCAAATTTCCCTCAAGTGTGCAATCACTTATTCTTTAGTTAATGTGAAAAGTCGATCCCTCCAGTCTCCACAGGTAGGAAGTTGGGCCTCGTTTTTGCACCCCCATTCTAAGCTTCTTGTAAATGTTCATAAGCCGATATTTACCAGCAAAGTCTATAAAGTTAAGTACTAACGGAGATGATCATTTACTGCTTTGTCTGAAGGTGGGAGGTGGTTTGGAGCGAGCCGCCAAGTCAGCCACAGCCTTCCGCGACCGGTGGGGAGAGGGCTAGTGGTGAAGGTGACAAAGCCGCGGCTGCAGCTGCTCTCTCCTCTTCAGCCTCGGTCACCACTCTAGATCCCTTGCAGAAGACTCTCTCGGGCACCCAGCCCCTCGCAGACATCGACGAGGAGGCAGCTGATGACACTGACGATGGCGGAAGTGTGTGACTAAGTTGTTGATAAAGTGATTTATGCAGCGGGTCAGAAAGGTATAGTCGCAGGTGCGAACGTGACAGTAATGTCACTGGACTGAATTTCTTCACCATTTTAGTGTCTCAACTCAGAAATGATGCATTATTGCTTAACTTTGCCCGCTTATATCGTTAATCATGTCGTTTTTGCCGATATTAAACCATTTAGCGATAAAATGACGTAGAAATTCGGTAAATGACTTTAAAGTGACAGCGAAATGTGTTCTCAAGCTGATTCTTCTGCGTTTATGTGTGATTTTTGTCGTGCATCTATTAACTTACGGTGGGTGTTATGAGTCGCAATCAATCAGAATTGAGATTGCCAAAACACGGTAACTGGTCGTCTGCAATGAATTGCTTCTGCGCTCGTAACCAATGCTAATGGTTTTTCATTGCCCATTGGCTTTCTTAGATACCTGTGTTGGAACAATGGTGGCGGTTTTACTATCTTCTCTTTCATTGTTTATGCCAGCTAGCCGTTTGGAAGACATAGAGACAATTCATTTGTCCCGCAATCCATTTTCACAGCTCAGAATAAATTGTCTTAAGGTCTGGACAGCAATAATCATTATATGACAAGAGGTCCACCTTGGTTAGTTGGACCAACATCTTTCGTCTTATTTGTTTTGAAAGAGTGTTACCCGATTTTCTCATGCCACAATTTAATAGGGGCTCTATCCGTGTACTTAGCTCATTTGGAATCAATAATAAAACCTCTGTGGTGTGATTCAGGGATACCTGTAGCAAATTTTTTCCACGATAAGATTTTTTTGGTTTTCCTGTGATGGATCTGAAATATTCATCTTTTCAATTATCGGCAAGATAGATAAGTTTCTACTAATTTCAATTCAGTAGCTGCTGCATAACAAAAGCATCCAATACGTTATCGACCTCAAAATCCCTGGCCTAAATTCAATATTCTCGACCTAAACTTGGCTTTTAGCATTGACTGGGGTTAGGGTGATTCAAGTACCATTGAACGTAGTGATAATTTTGGCATTGCATCATAATGCTTGACAGGCGTAACTAATGCGTGACAATTTGTTTCGACTCTTCCTCTTACAAACTCATTAAATTACTTAGCAAAACCGTTTTTCTTTAGCACTTACTGTGTGATGCTCAGTCAGCAATCGAGTCCATTCAGAAATCAGGCTGCGGAAAAATTTAATGTCTAACCTTTTCTGCAACACACTGATTATTCTTCTACTTCATGCATCAGCCCCTAAGCTCAAGTCACTGCTCCTGCTATAAAAACTGGATACTAGTGCCGTCATTCCTCCGTAGACGCAGTCACCTTATAGACAACGTTAATGCTTGGCTGCAGGAACAACCGGTTCGTTAGACAGACCTGGCCATGCAACGTCTTCAGATGTAGCCATTTCTAGTTCCCACTTCTATCCTTGTATCTAGCAAAACTGTAGGAGACCGGCATTTTTGACGAATTGTTCCTTGGCAGATCATCGAATATCTGCGATGGACAACCTTTTCGGCGTAATCAGTAGCAGCAGCGATGACAGCGAGGGGACCTACAGCGACGCGCCAACCAACTCAGATGTGGAGGAGGATGTGGAAGC